AACCACACCAAACGCCTACTACTACCAAACACAATGAGTCCATAGCCCAATTCACTTAGCCACGTGACAGCAAGTCGCTTGGTTTCCCTCTTTACTATGCGTCTGGGCGATATCAACTACAGTAAATCACGTAACTCTCTACTCTGATATGCTCCATGCCCTTCCCATAGCATGCGACTAGTAATGTACGTATCACTCTTTGCTCGCAACAGAACCGTGCTGTTAAACGCAAGTTGGCGATTGCAACACCCTTCTTTGAGCGAAATGTCGTGTAACCTTCCAACTTTCAGACTGGTCCTCAATTCTGATTTAAAGATGCGTAAACATGGCCTTAGCCCATAGAATATGAAATTTCATCCCAGAAATTCTTACATAAAAACTAAGGGCCCGTTGTCAGAAACAAAATTAGTCTCAACATTATGTCATTAACATTAATTGTTTCTTATATTTTTTTTTTTTTTCCCAGAACTTTATGCATGCGATATAAGAAACTCGTAAACAAGTTAATTGCAACAGTCTAAAGCCTGCCGCATACGCCTGTGGAACTTGCGTGCCGCCATCATCCACACTGTAGACGATGACGTCTGGACAAGACGTGTTACTAGATGATTGACGTCACACGTGGACGATGACGCAGCAAGTTTCCAGCCTGATCCAGTGCGATGCAATATCCTCCGAATAATCAAGCGAACAATGCGAATTAAGTGTGAACATTAACACAGCCGCACTCGCATCACGCTGTTGATTTTGCCACATGACGCCGATCGAGGAATTTTGCCATGCGCACACGCTTGTGGAACTTGCTCGCGCCTACGTCCCACACTAGGACGCATGACGTTGTGGACTAGGACGTGTGAACTAGGCACGATGACAGTCACACGTGACGATACGTGGACTAGGCACGGTGTGCGACTAGCGACGATGACGTCACCACGTGCGCGATTGACGCCAGCAGTCATTCCCACCCGGGCGTGTGCGATGCCAATATCCTCGATAAATCACCGAACCAATGCGAATACACGTTAAGACACGTATAAGTAGCCTACTTTTTCTCAAACTCTCGCGCACAGCTAATGTCAACACACAAGTTAAGCATCTTCAAAGAATCGGATAATATGCTTCTATTACCTAGCGATAGTTGGCCAATTTACAACATTACGTTCGGTAATTAAAATGTTGCTCACGTAAATTTGTTGTCGCCCATGCCTCGTGAAAGCGTGAAATAGCTTCGTGGCAACGCATAGTCGATTCTTTCACTTCATTGGGTCAAACACACACGGACCAACGACCATCGTTAACGCGCCCCCCCCCAGCTAGAGGAACAGCTCCGATCAAGAAAGATGAGACGAAAGACGTTTCTATATAGAATCGCGACGCATGGCAATGGTGCGGCGCTCATATAGCATTGCTGGCCACCAACCAATTTTGAGCCTTATGATTAATCTGTTAATGACATCACCAGACTTTATGGAAAAACCAGCTTTTGATTCCTTAATTTTAAGATTTATTTGAATACGGCGGCCGTCACATTATGAAT